TGTACCTGGGTTGCAGGCACATCCCCAGTAGGAGATGTGCAGGAGGCCTCTCATCGATGTTTCTAACTCTCTATCTCTCTCCCTTCTTCCTCTCTGTAAAAAAATCAATAATAAAAAAAAAAGCTAGTTACTGAGCAATAAATGGACCAGGGTGATGAATTTGGTAATAAAAAGAAGCACAGTTGTGCCCATACCTCGGGTGGATATGGGCTGGGATAATTAGATTTCATGGAAAAGTGATCATTATATTTTGAAGGATCAGAGTTAGCTAAAGATAGTTTAGTACACGGTGGTGGAACCTCATGTGCTCAGACAGGGAAACATGAAATAATATGAAAAGTACCACTTGCTCCAAACACAAGTAAATTGATGTGTATTTGTTTGTTTGTTTTCCCCAGTTTTCATTTGGGGAACTTACAAAAAATGAAGGCAGGGAAGAAAGTTGAATCCAAAACATGATGTTCCTCGTATGTGAAATAGCAATGAAATAACAATGAGACACATTCAGATGTAAAACATGGAACAGACTTCTGGAAATGTATTTTTTTTAATCCTTTCAACTTTATTATTCATAGCAGAATGGGAAGTGCAAAAACTGACACAATTGTGAAACAGTTAATCATGTTATTTAACATTTTTTCAACCTCATTCTTGGATAACATGTGGACAAGCTGGTTTTCCATTTCTTTCTTTTTTTTTTTTTCAGATAATCATGTGCCTTTAAATATCACTGGCATTCTGCATGATCCTAAGAAACCTCAAATATATTTACCTTGTAAATTTTCTCAAGTTCTTGCTTTCGGTAAAGTTAATCAGAAATCTGACTTGGGCTACTATAGCATCTAATAGACAGCAGTTTAATATATTACAACTCCTAAATAATGTTGTCATTTAAAAATGTTACCTTTCATATTCTGAATTATTCTTATTATTTAATACTAGAGGCCTGTTGCACGAAGAGATTCGTGCAATAGGCCTTCCCTTCCCCTGGCTGCTGGCACTGGTTTTCCTCCGGCACCCGGGACCCAGGCCTTCGCTCTGGCTGGAGCCGCCTTCTGTCTTCCATCTTCGGGGCCCCAGTCAGAGCCGCCTTCTGTCTTCCGTCTTCACTGCTCTGCTCACCTTCAGTCTTCGCTCTGCCACTTGGAGCATATGTATGCAAATTAACTGCCATCTTTGTTGGCGGTTAATTTGCATATCATGCTGATTAGCCAATGGGAGGCATAGAGAATGTACGGTCAATTACCCTGTTTGTCTATTATTAGATAGGCTATCCCATGTCTCATATAATAATCCCCCAAATTCTTGAGGTTTGTTTATTTTTTCCCCCAGAAAAGGACACTGAGGCTCTGAGATAAGTGACTTGGGTGAGGTCACATGATTTGAAGGGTAGCGTTGGGTTCCAGCTGAATTCAAGGGTCTCTTGTTGACTGCATCAAAGGAGCTGCTAAGTTGGGATTTTGAGCCATGGCCAGTAAGGATGCCAAGGAGACCTCTCTGAGGGCTTCTCAAGTCAGGCCATGGCAGCCTATGTCTTTCTTTTTGCTGTCAGGCTGTTCAGGGAGCCTCACCCATCTTCCAAGTCTCTAGTAATTGATAATACTTTATTCTGGTTTAATAAAGATGCATAACTGAATAAATAACTTGCTGCCATATATATAGAGAGGAAGGGGGAGGGAGAGAGAGATAGAAACATCAATGCTGAGAGAGACTCATTGACCGGCTGCCTGCTACACAACCCCCACTGGGGATTGAGCCCACAACCCAGGCACATGTTCTTGACTGGAATCAAACCCAGGATCCCTCAGTCTGCAGGTCAATGCTCTATCCACTGAGCCCAACCGACCAAGGCATATATTTTAATGACACCCAAGTAAATGAGGAAAATAAGTGTATTGTGAGGGTGAAAGTGTGGCAGCTCATAGGATGCAGATGGGTAAAGAGAGAGAAAAAAGTCTCCCAATGAACACCAAAAACACACTTTTTTCCTCAAAGGGAAAACTTAGCTAGACCTCTAAATCAGTGCACCGTGAGTCACTTCCACGGGTTTATATCCCAGCCAAAGAATTACACAGGGAGGAAAAATTGAGAAAACTTATAACAAATAACAATTTCATAACCGATGATTGTTTGCAAAGGAACTTCTCTTCAATTTAGTGATTCAATCTATAGTCATTTTCCATATTGGGTGATTTCTGGTTCAGCCCCTTCAGAGTGATGGACTGCTTGGAGTAGGAAAGAAAGCGGTTGATAGATTTCAGCCTAGAGATAGAACAGGCAAGTGTCAGACTGTGTGGGACATACAAATTCAGACATCCATCCTGAGAGGTTCAATGGAGGATTGTAGATGAATACGAAGGATGATAGTACTCTGATACAGAGGATGGTTCTTCAAGGATACAAAGAATGATTGCAGATGAAAATGAAGGAAGATAGTAGAGGAATACAGAAGATATTGT